AAAAATGTCCAGAAATTGAGATTTGAATTGTTTGTCCTGCTGCCTTCATCGTGTGGTGTCTCACCTGCGTCTGTCTCAGCCACTCCAGCTGGAACAACAGACGGGATTTGAATTGTTTGTCCTGCTGCCTTCATGGTGTGGTGTCTCACCTGCATCTGTCTCAGCCACTCCAGCTGGAACAACAGAGCTGAGCCCAACCTGCGGGAGGTAGACAGGACCACGTTCACTGCAAAGCTTTGAGACCTCTGAGATAAGACAGGGAGGGAGCGTGGGATGGGGGGCATGGACAGTGACCATGGCACGTGGTGCTCGCAGGAGAATGAGGCGCTGCTCCCCAGGAAATCTGCACCAGTGGAGGAGTCTGGTAAGATGTAAGTTGTTCACATCACTGACTCCTTTAAGAGCGATTTACAGCTTGACTCAGGGAACAGAACAGACACAGAATGGACACCTTATTCAGCCTGGAGGAATGGAGTTCACTTTGGTACGGCCCCCATTTGCAGATCAAAGCCAACTCACTGAGCTGCATTTGGATGGAAATCGGGTGAAATTTGCTCTCTTGCAGCTATTCCCCAGAGGGGAGGAGGGATAAGGAGGAGCCCTGATTTGCTGAACACCATCCTGCTCCTCTCCCTGCCCTAAGCTCTAGGACACAACCCAGGAGCACACAGAGCTTCAGCAACTGCTGTTTCACTGACCGCTACGTTCCCACATTTTCCATAGGAAAGCCAAGGAGAGAGAGGAGGATTCAGGAATGTTGTACTAAGCTGGCCTTAGTAGCAATGAAAGCCCCAAACCCCAGTGTAAAATCAGGGTGAGACGGAGGAGTCAGCTCCTCCCAGTCGTGCTGGCTCTGGAGCTGTAAACTTGAGCTAGATGCGCTGTTTTTCTCCTCATGGCCATAAATGGCATAGTCAGCATTCACGTTAGAGGCTTATATCATCTCCTGCGTTCATAAAGTGACTACAGAAACTGGGAGAGAAAAAGCTGAAAAGCTGCTGACTCCAGAGATGGGGTACTGGGGTTATTTCAGCAAGGGAAACAGAACAAGAATGAGGTGACCAGGTTCCCCTTCCCGACTCTATGGAGGCTGCTCTGTACCTTCAGGTTACTCAGAAAATCCTACATCAATTCCAAGGGACAGGAATTCTCTGTGATTTTGTACACATCCAGAGCTTGGAGTTCAGCGGAAACCTCTAAGAAACCTCTGTAAATCAAGCAGGGTCTGGATGACACCAGGTTTAAGTTAACACAGGAACCCAGAATGAGATTTACAGGAGCGACCACGCGCCCTGAAAGGACAACGCGTGCACCAGGTTGAAAGAAAAACGTTAGAAGCTGCTTAACACTTGACATTGCTCCAACCCTGCACTGCAGCACCACGGGGGATTGCTGTGCGCTCCATCTCACCTTGCTGGAGCGGCCCAAGAGCTGCACAGGGAAGATGCATTTTCCTAACAGTCAATGATGAAATCCAGTTTTGGAAAAAAAACCCAAACCCAAAACCTGGCCGAGATCCAGCGGGCACAGACAACAAAGTTACACGAGGCTGAGCAGAGAAACTCACCCCGTCTTCCTTGCCTAGAGAGGATGACTTCCAAGCACCTTGGTTGTGTTCAGGCATAAAATAACCTCACTTTCCATTAAATTGGGTCCCTGTAAAAGAAAAGTTCATGAGTCCACAGCATCAACCCAGTGAAGAGATTTCAGCAGAGCACAGCACACCGTCCTGTCTGGCTCCAGGTTGTGGCACACACGTGTATTTTCCCCACACTTACGCTAGATAAAATTTTGGTCCAAAATCTGGGTATTTTTGGAGAGTAAACTGGATTAAAAACGTACTTTCCCAGCTAATTCCACATCCGCCTGGCAAGCTCGTGCCTTTTTCACAGGGAGATTAAATATTATTCTGTCCCATGTGTAAGAGTCCTGTGAATCTGACTATCTATAGGAATGTACCTTTTGGTTATTACAAATCTCGCCTTTTCCACATTGCTTTTGAGAGTTCACATGTGCAGTTATTACCCTTTTAAATGCAGGGGACACTTTCTGAGCAAACCTGGCTGTGCCAGCAGTGGGACTGGATCTGCGTCAGCACCAGCAGGGCAGGAGGCCACCACTCCTCCACATTCCCAAAACCAGTTCAAAAGCCCCATTTGAAGCTCAGCATCATGGGGCCAAACGCCGTGCAGGGCCCTGACCATTCCATACAGGCCCAGTATCAAACTGGCTCTGTAGCAGCCTCCAGTCACAACCAGCACCGGTTAAATTTCAGCTGCTTTCATTATTTTTACTGCCCCTAGGAAAAGCGAGCAAATGAACACGTTGGGATTTCCTTAAAACTCAGGTTTCATTATCTAGAGCTGATGGGGAACATGTCTCAAACTGAAAATCCACCTAGCCAAGGCTGCTACAGCTCATTGTGACCAATGCAAGATGATTAGAGAAGTAGTTTTTTTTTTAAAAAAGGTGAAAAACTTGTCCCCCAACAGAAGACAAGGGCAAGGTTACTCACTTGTACACACCACGATCAAAGCTGGGGACTAGCACTGCACCCAAAAAGGTCAAAGGAGCAACAAACAGGTGAATGCAGGAAGTTTATTTGTTAAGAAAACCTCTCTGTTCCAGACATTAAAGGAGATTTTCAGCCCAATGTTTTTGTGAGCAAGACTCAAGGCAGATTTTTGCCATCATTCCGTCACCAGCACTATCTCATTACACCTGACAGTGAGGAGAGACAAACTTCTCCTGCTGCTGCTGGGAAACTTGTAGTGCTTTTACTTCCATTACAAGCCTGGATGAGGAATAAAGGACCCCACTATTGCCTCCATAGTTCAGGTCTTTTATCTAAGACACAGAAACGAGTGAAACTGCCCAAGAGGGAAGAAAGAATATATCAGGATTTCTTCCAAGGTGTTTAACCTGAATAGGTACAGTGGAGTCCTTGTTAAAGAGAGCTCCTGTGTTTTCCAGGTTTCCCTGCTGTGTGCTGGGACACTGCACCCTCACCAGCGCCATGAATACGCTCAATTCTGATGGGCAATATCCTCAGTAATCATCACCATTTCACCTCTTCTCTACAAGAGCTCTCGCTGCTCTCGTCCTGACCCTCTCCTGAGCATCGGTTTGTCTCCACTGGAAATAAAAAAAGCTCTCACGTTAAGTGGACAAATCCCAAACTTACTTTCATGAAGAATTAAAATCTACTTTCTTTGCATGCAGAAGAGACGAGGACTAGTCAGTCTGCTGCGACCATTCAGTTTGCTCACTGACCACAAGCTCGTTATTTTTGCCGCTCTCCTTCAACTGCTTGCATGTCATTTGCATTGTTTCAAGTCAAAACAAGATCACCTCAACTTGCAGCTACAGTGCTTCTCATTTCATCCATCAGCGGTCAGGCTGGAATCACAACTTTGCATGTTATTTTGTCCATGTGCAAGAAGCAGAAGAGAAACCAGCTTACTCTTCGGAAATTGCATTGGCTCTGCAGTGCTGACAGCGGGGAAAAAGCATCAGTCAAGTTAACAGATGTGACTCAGGACAAACAGAATTCCCGTTTTCAGGCTCATTTCTGAGCACGCAGCCACAGCAGCCCTAGGGATACCAACGCTGCACCTCCACTCACATAAACTTACCCATTTCTCATCTGCGTCCCTGCCCTGGCTCAGCAGCAGCATTTGCACAATACTCTGCCCTCTTGCAGAGTCCCTCAGCTTTTCAAGTGTGAATAAGTGAATTTCTATCAAACAGACAATTATTTTTCCTTTCCTTTCCCTTCCAAATTCTGTTCTGGTCAGTTCTTCAGCGCCTGACTACAATCTTTATTCAGATTACACAAGATCTACTTACGACCAGTACGGTATGTGCTCGTTCAGCTGCCCTAAGCCTAGCACCGATAGCAGAGGAGGAGAAGGCTGAGAGCAAAGGTTTCCTTGGGACGGGTAAAGACACCATCGAAATGCGACCTCCGCTGTTCCCTCAAGAGATTTGGGTCCTCTGAAAGCAGCAACGCTCCCTCAGGCTTCAAACAGAACACAAGATCAGGACGTGAATTTCACATTGACATTTTTATTAACGCCAACTGTTTTGATTTTTTTTTTCTTTTTTTTTTTAAACAATAGCACAAAAATGTTTCAGGGAAGCAGTCTGACAGTTAGTCTGATGACCTTCTGAAATACAGTTAAGCCACACCAAATACGAATTCCTGTTAAAGAAAAAAAAAATAATAAAAATAGATGGAACTCCAACCTTTGTATTAAAGGGTGTTGTGTCTGGTTAGTAGACCACGCTGCTTTGTGAAGTAAATGATGGCACACAGCTTAGACTTCATCATCATGCCAGTCATCACTAATTTAAGGCTTCTGAATCAAATTACCATCAACATCACAGAAAGGAACGAAAAGCTAGTGTTGCTACGGCCAGGAGGAGATCGAACAAGCTGGATCTTTTAGACAAGTAACGGTGTCTTGAACAGAAGAGCCCTGCCCTAACAGCAGCCAGCAGAACCAGTCCCACAGCAGTTATCTCCTCATTCGCATGCATTTTGAGGGTGCAATTTAGTAAGGAGGAAAAAAAAAATAGTAATAATAAATTGCATGAATCTTTCTCTTATTTAATGTGGCTATGAAAGGTGTTTCCGTACAATTCCGTTATCTCTAAGAAGGACATCAGCAAGTGGAACCGAGGAGAGAAACCGAAGAGCAACAGAACATTTTTCTTTTTGCTGAGAGGTAACACAAAAGGGAGGGAACCTACTATCCTTGGATTGGGGGGGGTTGCAGGAACATCTCCCCAAAACCTTGAACTTCGAATGATGCACAGACTCTATGTTATACCAGCTACTGCCTTTCCCAGTGACCTGTCCCACACAGCGCTCACAGGCATGGACCCACTCTTGCCCCAGACTCTCCACAAAATTCCACTGACCTAGAAACCACCGGTTTCCTGTTTTGTTTTGTTTTTTGGGGAGGGCTGGGGGAGGGTGTAAAAAACAGAACATCTGTCAATAAGAGTGTCAGGAGGGGGGGTGTTAAATATTTTAACCACTGACAAGGCTTGAGGAAGTTTCACAGTTTTGTTATGCTCTATTTTATTACTATCATATTTACAGATTTTTCTCTCTTTTTTCTTTTTTCTTTTTTTTTTTTTTGCTGAATTGTTGATAATTTTAATAGAATTTCAATCTGGAGTGTGAGCAGGAACCAGTTAACTACATTCATTGTCCAATCCCCATTGGTTTGAGAAAAAGACTCCAAATTCTTGGCATATGAATCAGCTGTTGGGTAGCTCCTCCCTCTCCCCATGAGGCGGCAGCAGGACTGCAGCAGTGGCATGCACAGATTCACACCATGGCTGGCGGGGCCTTGCGCTGCAGGAAATATTGGTGGATGTTCTCGGCGTCCCGCTTCAGCCAAGCCAAAAATTTTCACAGCACTGCTGGACAGTGCGTTCTGCCGATGGAGCTGGGTGACTCTCAAAGAAGGCCTGTGTAGAAAGCACACAACCATCCATAAGGGTATAAAAATATAAACTTGCCTATGCCTGTTTAAGTCGCCAAATTCCCTAGGTTATGTAGCAATATTTTGGTGAATTATCTTCCTTGTCTGGCCGCAGTTGATGCTGTCTGCTCCCACCAACATCGCCAGACTCTGGAAGATTTGTAGGGTGCTTCCTGAGTTTGAAAGATGTGCAAAACCAGAGTGGGAACAGCAAAATGCCCTCATTTCTCTGCTAGAGGAACGAGCCCAAACGCTGCCTCCTGTCCTGTCCTGTCCTTGCTGCCAGGGACAGCAAGCAGCACTTGAAAAGATGAATTCAGTTTCTCGTTGGGAGGCAACAAACAAGCAGCAAATCAAGCGTGTATTTCTGGATACTTGGAAGAAGACACGGAACGGAAGCCTAAGGCCATTTAGCAAAAGCATTTGTCTGGGTATCGGATTTCTTAGCGTTCTACCTAGGCCCCTTTCCAAGCTGCATAATGACCTCCAAGCACCAGCAGCACTCAGGAGTTTTGCTGAACAGTCTCACATTTCTTCCTCCAGAATCCACAATATCGATCCCCTGCAAAGAGCTGGAGGAACTGCACCAGAGGCTGCTGTGACTTTGCACTTTACAACTGGTTAAAGGGTAGAGAAAGCTGTCAACCCCATCCCCACATGAGCAGGCTTTTCTTAATATTTGGCAGATCACCTCACTACTGTACACTACAAGGTGACGTGGAGACTCAGACACCTGAAGTGCTCCAGCTGAAAGCCAGGTACACTGCTTCAGGAAGTTCTCGTGGAAAGTTTTTTTCTCCGTAAAATCACTTGGGCTATCAAATCTTTTCTAAGAAGAGACCACTAGATGATAATAAAAAAAAAAATAAGATAGAGCTTATTGGCTCAGCGTATCTTTGGAAGAAGAATTCCTCCTGAGCATTTTCCTAACAGGCAAGTGGTAATTAAGGGCTATATTTTTACATTTCTTCTTCCAATAAGAAGTTCCCTGTAAAGGTGCAGGCAAAGGGTAAATAATAAAACCTCCACACATATTTAAAGCACTGCCAAGACCAGCACCTGCACTCCCACATCAGAGGGGATGCTTGACTGCAGTGACAAAATCACATCACCTGCAGCCACCAACTCCAAGACAGACCCTTTGCAAAGACATAAATCCGCCTTGTGCCAAAGCTTTGCTCTTAGTCCACAGCACAGATATCCACATAAAACTTGGACCGATAGGATGGGATTTAGCCCATTTCCAACATTACATTTACAATTTCAATAAAATAACCTAAAGCAGTGCGATTCGGGGACTAGGCAACAGTCAGAGGCAGAGCCACAGCTCAAAACCAAAAATTGCACAGAAACTCATGGCTCTTCCATCAGGTGTCTGGAGCGTGCAACGCGTGTCACAAATGCAGTTAACCACTTTTCCAATTAAAATTCCTTACCTTAACTTCTGCAGCCATTTTATCATTTGCAAATCCATCCACTGTTAGCTGAAGGAAAAAGAAATGAACCGAGGATAAGCATTTAGCATTTCAGAACAAACAGGTCAGTTTTAGTCACGCATGTGAACAGGACTTTTCTCCCAGCTGCACATACCTTTATTAGTCGGGATATTAAGAATCCACCTTGGTATCGATTATAAAGTTCCTCCCAGTTGTCCCTTACAAATTTCCAAGCAGCTTTCCTTCCCTGCTTGCTGCCTCCAGCAACTCCACCAATAACAGATACCGTGTCCTGGGGACGTACCTCTTCCTGAAGGTGAAGAGGCAGACAAGCATTCAAGACTTTTTCAGCAAATACAGCAAGCTGACATTATGCATTTCTACACCAAATCTGTCAATGACAGCATTTTTCCCCTAGGAACATTAAGATCCAAGTCAAAGATTCAATCATTAAGACTATTCCTCCTATTCTAGCACGTTATTTGCAGAAGAGGAGACTGAGGGGAGACCTCATTCATGTTTATAAATATTTAAAGGGTGAGTGTCACGAGGATGGAGCCAGGCTCTTCTCGGTGACAAACAATGATAGGACAAGGGGTAATGGACACAAACTGGAACACAGGAGGTTCCACTTCAATTGGAGAAGAAACTTCTTCTCAGTGAGGGTGACAGAGCCCTGGCCCAGGCTGCCCAGAGAGGTTGTGGAGTCTCCTTCTCTGCAGACATTCAAAACCCGCCTGGACGCCTTCCTGTGTTACCTCATCTGGGTGTTCCTGCTCCGGCAGGGGGATTGGACTGGATGAGCTTTTGAGGTCCCTTCCAATCCCTAACGTTCTGTGATTCTGTGTGATTCTGTTATTTGCACACAGTGCTCTGAATGCACTTGTCATTCTCACGGGGCAAGGAAGCAGCAGCTTTCTCAATAACTTACTGAAAGTGCAAAGGTGAGAACTTTTTGAATCAGTTCTGGTTGAGAGATGGCTCCGAGAACGCGCTCAATTCGGTTCTTCTCCTCCTGCATGTCTGCTTGCTTGTGAAGCTGCAAAGCCAAAGCGAATAATATTAGTGTACGGTATTAAACACCGACTTCTCACCTAGCGCTACTGAACTTGCTGTATACACTAGAGCTGTTGGATGAGTCTTCAAGCTTAATATGTGACAAATTGAACTTGTTCATGAATCATCCTGCAGCTATCCACATTACGGACCTCATTACACGTTCATCATCAGAAAGTACCATTAGTAATAAACTGATCTTCACCACTGTTTATATAAGGTCAAGTAGCACCGTGCCTCCGAGCAATGAAAAATAATTCTAAAATGAGATGCAGCAATCCACTAGGTGGCAATTTCACACCACACACAGACCAAGGAACACCATAATTAAGTCTTGGTGTTCGCATCATCTGTAAATCATCAGATTGGGCCCGTTTGCAGTTAAACTACATCTCAGGTGAACTTGTAGGGTGGAATATTTAGCTTTCCAGTGCATAAGGTGGCAGTGTTAACAACAGTGTGCACTCACCTTCAGCATAGTGTCTAAAGTAGTACTATCTCCGTGCTTCAAAATAGTTACATATACCTGAGAGAGAGCATAAACAAGGAATGTCCTTCAGAAACCATTTAGAAAAGCAACAATCCATTTCTACGTATTTAGGTTAGATCTCAGACAAGTGAACAGATCTGCAAGACACTGGCACTGCTTCCTTCTGTGTTTTAAGACTGGATTTTAAAGATGCATCGACTCCTTTACCTCTTCCTCAATTTCAGCATAATTTTGGTAATTTCACCCACAGCTCTTCCGTGATCCCTGCAGTTTACCACAGTGCTGTAAAGCCTGGAGGACGTAGGCTGGTTAACGATGGATGTATATGAGTAGAAGTCAGCTCAGGTTCAGCACTGCTCTTCAATAGTCTTCAAAACCCCAAAAGAACACAATCTGGAGACCAGAGGTGTACTGTGGCAGTTAACGCGGGTACAGCTGAGCTTATCAGTTATGATTAAGTATTGGCCACGACAGGCGAGGCTCACTTGACTCAAGAAACACATGGATGTTTGTACCACGCTCCCCAGTCTCAATTTCTTCACAACTGGCCTTACCCGAGTTCCCACCACCTCTGCCAAAACCAGCTGTTCCCATACCTTGCCACTGGTTTCCTCTAGCTTCCCTATTCTTGAGAATACAAGAGTTCAGTGCACACAGTGCTAAGTAAGTGGGGACAGTCTTTTGGGAAACAAAATTTACAATAACCTACAGGACTCCTCAGATCGGCTGACAGCACATGCTTTCCTTCCACGTGGTCCTTAAATCGGCGTCGGGCTTCTTCTAATGTTGCCTTGTGCCCAGCTTTTCCTAGTTTGCCCAAGACCAGACCCCTCAGAAGGGCATCTAGATGACCTAATGAGTGAAGAGGTGGAAAAACATTAATTATTTGGAGAGACTATTCAGCAATTAAGTGACCTAGAGTGATCAGGATGGAGCTGTATAACAATTCTTCCACATGCTTGAGGATATCTAAAGAAATCAAGCCTTTTCTCACTCTTCTTGGTGCCAGCTGGAAAATAAGCTGGTTTTGGGGGTTTTTTTTAAGGGCAAGGGAGTCAGGAGAAGATGATTCTGGCCCAAACAGAGCTAAGTCAGTAACATTAACCATTTGCATCTACAACAGCACTGTCTAGGACAAGTAAACACACATATACATGACCTTCCATCCTTGTAGTGTAATAACTTTCATGCATTCCAACAGATGCAAAGCTAAAGCAGAGAATTTTTATCAGTCAGCCACCAGGTAGGGAAAAGTTTTAACACTTTAACTTGTGTCTGATAAGAAGGGGTTGTTTTGGGGCTTTGTGTCTGTCTGGTTTTAAGTATAAAAATACCCCTGAATGCCTATTGCAGAGTGCTCTTCAACCCTTCTCTCCCCTTTCCCAAAATCTTGATGCCTTATTTACACATAAGCTTTAAAAAACCACTACTGGATTTCACAGTATAAGTTTCCTACCCTCTCCAGGTTTGGGGTCCCATCCCAGTCTCTCCCCTATTGGTGAAAAGACATCTTTCACGAACACCTGGATTTCCTCATAGAAGTCTGTGTGGGACAAGAGCGTTGAGAGGATCCCCAGGTTGCAGCTGAGGTCGCTCCACACAGTGTAATTGGGCTCATTCACAAAAGCTTCCATGACTTTCAGAACCTCTACAGTGCTAATGATTCCAGCTCGGGCCTGCAGAGGTAAAACCACACGTTAATCTTATTTCCAAACAGAATTAAGATGTTTAATAGCTCATCACATTATTTTACTGTCTTCCCTGTTCAGTTTGCACAATATAAACTCTATTTTCTCCGTTGTGGGGTTCTGACAAGGTGAGTTAACACAGGTCAAAGCACCTGAACTGTCTGCTCACAGCACACAGTGCATTTTATACACAGGTAAGCACTTTACAAGGAGACAGCGACGTAATTATGAGCACATTTTGCAAACAAGAAACAGACAAGGAGATTAAATGACTTAACAGAATTGCAGCAATGCTGGCAAGGAAAAGCAAACCCCCAGAGTTATTCTCAGCCAGATACTACACCCACCAAAATCTTATTTTAACTGAAAACTGTGAAGATTTAGATATGTAATTTTTGCTCCTCATTAAATGGAGAGTGTAAAACCGCAGAAGTCATTTTTGCTTCCTGCTTCCCATGAATTAATACAAGAGCCTTTCCACCTCTGCCAGGAAAATGTTATATTAACTGCTTCACAGCATCATGAAAACACTTCTATGCTTAGTGCAGCTGATAGCTGCTGTAGGTATCATCTCCAACCAGGTTGTTGTTAATCTGGAACCAGACCAGTCATTTATGGTACTGGAAAAGAGGTAAAGATCAATTTTTATTATCTAAGCTATATCCACCTACGATAAATACACGATTAAAACTGAAACCGAAATCGGAGTCCAACCCAAAGTCCCTATGTGCATTATTTGCTCCTTTTTTTGCCCCATTATTCTCGCAATACTTGGGAAATGACTTGGGTTCCAGTTTCAAACCCCTTCAACAGCTACAAGGCTTGAAGCCAGAGAAGAAGGGTAACAAACCTACACTTTTAAAATTTTCCATATACTTGCTGACTAAGAAGAATAAGGCACAATCTGAAATACAGGGTACAGTAACTAATGATTCAGAGCTACCAACACCTGCTCTGGGGGTAATCCCTTGCTTTTAACCAGTGAGAATCCCCACAGCCACTTCTTCCAGTGGAGGACAGTTAAAGAGTCCCAGCTGAACAAAGCCCATGGTGCTGACGGTACTTGATAAAGTCATGGAGGGGATCATTAAAACACCCTTATTTTGACGAGCTAAAAGAAAGCAAGTTCTCAAAACAATTCTGTAAAAACACCCTATATATGCACACACACACACACACACACACACACACACACACATATATATATAGAATAGCAAAGGGTTGCTTACCAGAGAGAAAAGATCGTTCTGCAGGCCAAGCCTGTCCACAGGGGGTAGGGAGAGGTCTTTGATCGCTGGTATTAAACTCTCCAGCATGTCAGGGCTGTACTGAGTACGGTAAAACCCTACTGTTCCCAGATTTAACTGAAAAGTACCAAGAAAAGTGAGAAAAATTAAAAGTAAGGAACAAATAAGGAAATGCTTTTGATTTTTTTGGACCACTAGAAATTTCTCAAAGCATTGCAGCTCAGAGAAGTCAGTCGCCATTATTTACATAAAAAGAAAGAACAAATCACATGTAAGGGAGAAAGACTAAAGATTTCTAAGAGAAAATGCTTGCTAAGAGGTACAGAAGACAAGAGAGAGCTGGCATAAGGAAACAGAGGCCTGAAGTAAAACTAGGAGCAAGGAGAAAAGAGAAACTTCTCTTCTAGGGGTAAATCCTAACTGAACTAAGGGCAATCGTGCATGAAGATAAAATGCAGGAAACCACAGGTGCTGGAATCTTAACTTTTGTAGCCTCTTTCCTAGAACCTGCTCCATTCAACTTTAATAGAACCTTCTTCTTGAGAAAGGAGAGCGAGCGCCTCTGCCCAGCGTAACAGCAAGTGACTGTCAGTAAACTTGATGGACTCTATTCTGCCCTGGTGAGACTGCATTTGGAATATTGTGTCCAGTTCTGGGCCCCTCAGTTCAAGGACAGGAAATTGCCTGAAAGAGTCCAGCAGAGCCACAAAGATGATGGAGGGAGTAGAACACCTCCCTTATGAGGAGCGGCTGAGGGAGCTGGGGCTCTTTAGCGTGGAGAAGAGGAGACTGAGGGGTGACCTCATTCATGTTTATAAATTTGTAATGGGCGAGTGTCAGGAGGAAGGAGCCAGGCTCTGCTCTGTGATGTCCAATGCCAGGACAAGGGGCATTGGGTGCAAGCTGGAGCATAGGAGGTTCAACCTGAACATGAGAAAAAACTTTTTCACTGTAAGGGTTACAGAGCATGGCCCAGGCTGCCCAGAGAGGTTGTGGAGTCTCCTTCTCTGGAGACATCCAAAACCCCCCTGGACACGTTCCTGTGTGACCTGGTCTGGTGATCCTGCTCTGGCAGGGGGGTTGGACTGGGTGATCTTTCAAGGTCCCTTCCAACTCCTAAGATTCTGTGACTACACCAGCAACACGCTCCTACCTGCTGGTGTTCCAGTGTAGACGGCCAAATGCTGTGGTTGGCTGAACAATATTTGGAGAGACTGACCCCTAATGTCATTTCAGAGTCACCTCTCAGAATACAGCTCCAGCTTCAGAACAATTTCTCTTCAGCCTCATACAGCAACAGTTGCTGCCTTTCAGTTTTTAAGTTCAGTTTGCCTGATGTCTGCAGTAGACATCAACAGTGAATTTTCTTCACTTAACAAATTAGTACTCATCTGGCAATAGCCAGTAGAAAACCTTCACACTAATGAAAGATAAACAGGACTATTTTTGCTCAGGATGGACTTGAACTAAACTGTGGTTGCCATGGGATACCAAAAAAAGCCATCGCATTTCAACTCAAAAGCTGCCTCTAATTGCACACTGTTTTTCCAGGCTCAGACTCCTAAAAGGTTCAAGTTTACATTGTCTGGACTACTCTTGGAAGGGAAAGGACTACACTAAGCCAGCATTGCAGAGAGGAGCCAAAATTCAATAGCACCATAAAGAGGCCCCTCCATAAGAAACAGGATTGCAAGGGGGAGCAAAGAAAAAAGAGCAGAGGAAAATGAAACGCAAGGAAACATTACAGTGACAAACTTAGTCCCAGGAATACGTTCTCCTTTGTGGAAACTCACCTTCACCCACTGGTCTGGTTTGATGTCTTTCAAAACCAAGGTGAGCTCTGGTTTGTCCATCAATATTTGCATTTTAGCACAGGTGGGGTCATCACTCGTACAAATACTTATGGGGACCATCCACATGGGGAAATCCTCCCCTAAAAGAAGAAAGAATAAAAAGGAAGGCCTAAGGGGAAAAAAGTATGCACACAACACTGAGAAACTCTGCCTGATGTTCAAACCAGCTTCAGCAGCAGTTTAAGCAAGGCTATTTACATCTAAAAAGGTACAAATCTGAAGGAAAACAGCAGTTCTAGAATTAAAACCCAGGAATCTCTAAATCACCTTTCAAGCCAAACATTTCAATTTCTACAAGCATGGAAGAAGTGGGAAATCGGTGTCTTTGAGCTGGCTTCCCTATGAAGCATTTTTATTTCATCATTACCAACCACACGTGTGAGAGCGTTCAACCGTCTGTTTTCTGAAGGTTTCACAAAGGAACACCCGAAGCCAAGCAGAGCACCTGGGGCTGTTTCACCTCTCAAAACTGCTGCCATGGCACGAAAAGCAATGAACACTCCACTCCTGCTCTTAGCACTCATCTTACCAGTATATGGTCCACTGGCACAGAATTTCTTCTGGACTAACTTCAACACTTTGTCATCTTCTTGCTGAGGGGAAACAAAAAAATACAAGAAAAAGAAAGAGTGAGAAAGGAACTACCAAAACATTTAATCTCAGCTTCTGTGTATCACAATCCATTCATGTGCCTTCTGTTAAACGGAAGAACTTTTCTTCTCCTCCAGAAAAAGGAGCTACATAAAGAATCATTTCAAAGCACTCATCACAGTTACTATTAAAACACACATGCCCCATTTCTCATCTGATTTTGACGTCTGACTTCAGCTCCCAGCCAGTAAATCCTCCCTCACCCTGCAATCTTGTAGAATAAGCATAATTGAACGGGAGCGAGAAGCAGAGCGTGCGGCGAGGGGAGCTAAGTCAGATACTCCCTCCCCCAGCACACATTTCCCACACAATGAGCAAAGGGGCACTGTCAGCAAACCCCGAGCACGTGATCCACGGCACTCCTGGAGTAACTCCACATCGCTCTGCACCGGGTTCCTCAAGCGAGCTGCACTTCCCCTCCCTTCACAAGCAGATCTGTCACTGAACAGAGCAACCCACCGTATCCAGTTCTTTTATAAATAATTCTAGTTCTATTTACCTGTTCAGCTTCCACATAAATGAGCGGAAATCCCATTTGTTTGGTCCATGTATTCATCACAGCAGCAATAGGTTTACCACTTGCTTTTTCCAGGCTTTCCCAGAGGTCCTCTGCAGAAGAAAAGTCTGACTGAGGACTCCTGGAGTCTATTAAGGACACTACAGGGGCACCGGAGGTGGGAGGCTCTATTATTTATTGTTGTTGTTGTTGTTGTTATT